CGGGGTTGCAGCCGCATGTTTTCCGCAGAGCCTGGCCCCGCCGAGCCTCCCGCGGCCGGAGCGCGGCGCTGACGCGGCTCTCCCCATTTCGCAGAGCGGAGACACTGAGGCACAGACACCTGGCGGCGACCCGCCCTGCCCGCCCCAAGGTCACGTAGCGAGTGATCCGTGGCGCGGTGCCCGCGTCCCAGAATCGCCTGCCTCCGGGGCTGCGGGCCTGGACGGGGAGGGGGCGGCGCTGGCGGCGGCCTCACCTGAGTGAGGGGCCTGGCCCCGCGCGCGGTGGACGCGGCCCGTCGGGGGGAGGTGACGGCCGGGTGGGAGGCCAGGCAGCGCCCAGCCGAGTGCCTTGGCCGTGGGGAGCAGGTGACCCCCCGGGCTCGGGCGCCTCGGCCTCCAGCCTCTGCATCTGGAGGGCTCCTGGCCAGACTTTGGGTGTCCAGACGGATGGGGTCTGGGGAGCGAGGTCCTAAGGGTTTGGGGGCTGCTGTTCCTCGTCAGCGGGCCATTCTTAAAAATGAGCCTTAACATCTCCCCGCAGACCTGCTCTTTGAGATGCAGTAGCCGTGCTGGGGAGGAGGATTGCTGCCCAGGAGGCCGTGCACCTGAGCCTCAGTTTCCTGTTGTGTACAGGAAGGGGTCGGGATAGATGGCTTTCTAAAGAGCCTCCCAGTTCTTAAAAAATGGTTTTAAAAAACTCTTGGAAAAACAAAATAAAATGAAGATTTAAAAATGCCTACCTCTGGGCTTAGGTCTGCAGGGCCCTGTATGATTCTGGGTGAACCACACTGGGTCATACAGGGAAGTGGCACAGCTTTCTTTATAAGTCATATAGGTATGGTTATGTATTTTCCTGCTAATGTGGCATGAACCCTGGAGACCTCATCCACTTAGGATACATGGGGTAGGAAGGGAACATTAAATCTTGTGAAATATGGTTCAGAAGAATTTTAGCCACCCCCCCACCCCCGGGTAGCTTGAGAATGCAAGCTTATTAATGTTAGGTATTGTATTTACAACTCCATACCTCTCTTTGGCCGTTTCTTTCTGTTTTGGGTAAAATCAAGCCATTATGAAATTATAGCAAGGGGCTTTTATTTTGAGGCGGGGGAGGGGACATGCTCTTCTGGCCCCTCATCCATCTACAGCCCTCCAAATCCGGAAGTGGAGAGAGACAGTCTAATAATAGCAAAGAAATGGTATTTTCCTTTGAGCTCTGATTAGACTAGTTGGTAAAGATGTCTTGCTCTGCTGTCTTTATTTACTGTACTGGAGCTTTTTTTTTCATTGTTTCAGTTAAACTCTTGTATTACTCAGGGAGACTAACTTGGCCCCAGGGGAGATTTTCCCTTCTTCCTACTAGCTGTAGGCAAACACCCTAATCCCCCTGTGAGGACGGGGCCATAACTTGCCTATTGTGTTGCATTATGCCAGTCACTTTCCCTGTGTCAGGCTGCTGTCCCAGAGGGCCATCCAGTCTTGCCCTCACCTTTGAAGAGTGAAGAGTTGAGAGGTGGCTTAGCTGTTGATGAGCCCTTCAGGTTTAGGGGTCTGTGAATCCTGTGAAAGTGTTTGCAGAATTTTGTGTATGTGCCCCTGTGTATTTTTTGAGGGGGAGGATCCATAACTTTCATTAGGCTTTCAAAGGGGCCCCTGACCCCAGCTTTAAATGGAAATGTCTCTGTGGGCCAGGCTCTCCACCTCCCCCATGATAGGACCTCCCACAGGTCTTTGTTTAATCCCCAAGCTTCTGAATTTTAGAGGTAAAAAGGATTCAGAGCACTGACCAGCTGCCTCAGTTGGCAGATGAGGCCCGGAGGTGACCCACAGTGTGGGCGGAGAGCCCGGGCTCTGGAACCAGACCGCTGTGCGACCTTGGGCAACTTACTGAGCCTCTCCAAGCCTCAGCGTCTGCATGTGCTAAGTGTGGATAATAATTCTAGTAGTCCTTGTTTCCTGGGGTTTTGTGAGGATTAAATGAGACCACCCTTTAAAATGCTTAACACAGTTCATGGCACATAATAGATGCCGAATAATTGTTAGCTGTTACCCAGCTAACTAGCTCTCCCGCCTGGTTAGCTGCAGAGCCATTGAATCATGCATCCTCAGAAACCTTTTGCCTGAACAAGGTCTTAAGTCTTCAGTCCTTGCCTTAAAAGCATGATAACAGTTTCAGTTAAGCCACCCATAAGTGAATGAATGAATGAATAAAAGAAAAAAGGCAATAGAAGATATAAATAGGTTTAGATGAGTCTTTGATAAATGAAAGAACTTCATTATTTACCCTAATAAATTTTTTTGGTATTTCAACAGTTTATGCTCTTCATTCATTCAGGAGAGTTTTATTGAGCACATACTGTATATCAGACTGGACACCAAGGATATGCTAATTTTCAAAGGAAGAAAATGGGACTTTGAATTACTTTAAAGATCACTTGTATATGACACATTGTAATTGGCCAGTCAGCAGATTCCTTGAAGGAAGATGATGAGGAAATGGACACACGTTGTTATAGGAGATTCTATTCAGTTCCAATAAAGATATTGATTGTCAGGATAGGTAAATACAGAGCTGGTCACTCAGAAGACCTTGGGTTCACCTCCCTGATGACACAAAGGTTCTCTCCATGTGGACGGCGCAGGGTGGGGAACAGGAGAAAGTGAGTAACTGAAATCCCAAAAGGAATCAGTCTTTATTTTGGTTCTAGTCCCCGCCAGTCTTGCCACAAGTCACAAAACTGGCTAACTTCAGCTCTGCTTCCAGCCCTTCCAGGCCTCCTCTCCTCCTCGTTCACCACCTCACGAACCTTAGGGAGGAACCCAGACCGCCAGAGTACACCTGCCACGGTAGACCATCTGCCTGGGGACCTAGGCTCCCGTAGGAGTGGCTGAATTGCCATGTCTGCGCCCACCTCAGGGTCTCTCTTTTCTCTCTGCTTAAAGCAGAAGCCAGCCCAGAAGCCCATCCAGCCTCTCCACTAGGGATTGGGTCCATGTAAGAGGTCTCACAGTCAAACTATACTATATTAACTCTTGGAGAAATTTTATTGTTAAGTCAATAATTTAGCTTTTATCAAAGAGTCTGGGGAACTTAAGGTAATTGTGTGTCCTCACTATTGGACAAAGTGAGGCAAAGAATGTGGCACCACGAGCACCTGACAGTACAGGCAGCAGCAGTGGGGCCGGATGTCAAGTTCACCTTCAAGGTAAGTCAGTGGATGGCACCGGCCCCACCAGTCATCACCTCCCTCCTGCTGGGAGTCTCGAGATAGTGACAGTGCCTCGCATTGACAAGATTCTGCTCTGTCGTTTTTCAGAGTTTTATTTAATGCTCAAAACTCAACTCAGAGAGGTAGCAAGTGTATCAGATACTCTTATCCTCATTTTGTGGATGAGGACGCTGAGAACAGAGAGGTCAAATAACCGGGTCAGAGTGACACAGGCAGCAGTCAGTGTAGACAGGCCTGAAAGCCAAGCGTTCTAATTCGAGGCCAGTACCCTTTCTCCTCTGCCACGCTCCTGATAATATGATACCTGTGAGATGTAGTTGTGAAAAAGGAGATGGGACTATAAACAGCAGAAGGTGGTGTAACCATCTTTCGTTTGTTGTTAGTAATGGTTTTATAATTGATGTCTAAATCAGTGCTGGGGTCTCAAGAAGAGATTCATGTCTATGGACTTATTGCTACCAAACCTGAGGCCGTTTTCATGGGAGTGCTTATCTTTGGAATTTATTTTGCAGCTGGATACTGTGGCCTTCAATCCTATCCTTCCTTTCTTTCCTTGAACACAGGTCCAGCAGCTGGACATGGAGACCCAACGCTCATCACCTCTGTCATTCCCCAACATTCTGCAAGAAGAAAGCCCACGTCAGGCTCCTGCTGGACTCCCCCGAGAAACTCTGTTCCAATCCCACGTTCTTCCCCCCAAGGAAACTCCTTCTTTGTCTCCCGCCATTCCCCGGCAAGGCTCCCTACCCCAGGCTCCCAAGCAAGAGACTTCTGGCCGGATGCCGCATGTTCTCCAGAAGGGACCCTCACTCCTGTATCCTGCCACTTCTGAGCAAGAGACTCATCTCCAGGGCCCCTTGACTTCCCAAGAAGAGATCCAGTATCCACCCCCAGCTGCTGCTGAACCAGAAATCTCACTTCTTTCCCACTCCACCCACCATCAAGAAGCCCCACTCCACTCCCCTGAAGTTCCTGAGAAAGACCCCCTGACTCTTTCCCCTACAGTTCCCGAGACCGACATGGACCCCCTGCTCCAGAGCCCAGTTTCCCAAAAAGACACCCCCTTCCAGATCTCTTCTGCAGCCCAGAAGGACACACCACTCCCGACGGCAGAGATCACCCGCTTGGCCGTGTGGGCTGCTGTCCAAGCGGTGGAGAGGAAACTGGAGGCCCAGGCCATGCGGCTCCTGACCCTCGAGGGCAGGACGGGGACAAATGAGAAAAAGATAGCCGATTGCGAGAAGACGGCTGTGGAGTTTGCAAACCATCTGGAGAGCAAATGGGTTGTGCTGGGGACCCTGCTGCAGGAGTACGGGCTGCTGCAGAGGCGGCTGGAGAACATGGAGAACCTGCTGAAAAACAGAAATTTCTGGATCTTGCGGCTGCCCCCCGGCAGCAATGGAGAAGTTCCCAAGGTAAACCTATCCCAACTGGGGCTTCCCAAGGAGTGATCTGAATTGGAATGTGTTTTAGGAATTTAATATAAAAGAAGGGGGAAGCGATGGTTGAGAAGGAAAAAAAAATAATGAAACCTAGTTGCCGACATTGCTTCACTAAGAACAGGATACACCAAAATCCAGTGATTTCTCTGTTGATAAAAGCATAGGTTAACAGATGGGAGAAACATCCTGGTGATCAGGAATTGTCAGTTGAGAAGGGCATTCAGTCCATGATGTGGTGAGGATAAGAAGGCCGAGTGATGGAGCTGGGTCGAGGCTTCACAGTCAGTCACTGTTGAGCGTTGGTTAGTGGTCCACCATCGGAGCGGAGGGAGAACTCGGTGAAATGTTATGGGGCTCTGTCCTGCTCACCGTTTTCATTGGTTGACTTATAAATCATGTTAATGCCAGAGAAAATGTGATTTCAAGAGGTATCCTAAAAAACTAGAGAACAGTTAGGTTTTAATTCTGCACGAACTTGAATGTGGACTGGATTTCTTTCTATTCTTTTGTGCTGCTGCCCCTTTTCATAGCCTTATGTAGGGGAAAAATGTTGGACTATATTCTCTAGGCCAGCACTTCTCCAATTTTATTGTGTACATGAATCACCTGGGAATCTTACCAAATGCAAAATCTGATTTAATGGGTCTAGAGTGAGGCCTGAGAGTCTGCATTTCTAGCAAGTTCCCTGGTGGTGCCATTGCTGCTGGTCTGCACACCATGCTTTACAGTAGCTAGGATTATCCTGTTAGGAAAAGGACCAGACGAGACAAGGCCCCTACTCTCTGTGGCCAGGACAGTGGCTGAAGCCTGCTTTCTAGAGAGGTCCTTGGTGAAAACCCACAGCTGTGCCTTTGGATCTTTCCCACTCTGGTCCTAGAAAGAGGCGTTAGAGCCAGGGCCAAGGGGTTGAGCCATTCGCTGCCCTGGGATTCAGCAGCCGAAGGCCTGTGACTGCCTTCCAGTTGGTCTGAGCTGAGCTTGTGTGGTTTCAGGTCCCTGTCACGTTCGATGATGTCGCTGTCCATTTCTCGGAGCAGGAGTGGGGAAACTTGTCCGAGTGGCAGAAGGAGCTCTACAAGAACGTGATGAGGGGCAACTACGAGTCTCTGGTTTCCATGGGTAAGGAGAAGCTTCACTCGCCGGGGGCTTCCTTGACTTCAGCTTGAGGTTCATTTGGACCCTTTGGGAGTTCTGAACTCCGGTACTACCAATAACTGAAAACAAGGACAAGTGAATTTTAGAGAGCACAACGAATTAGAACATACGCCATCATGTACCCACATACGTCAGTGCAGCACAGATCAGGACACCACTCTGGAGGAACTGCGGGGGCAGGCGGAGCAGACAGGCTTAGACGGCAGTGGTCTCTCACCTTTATGTTACCTTCCCCATGGCCCTACATATATCCTAGAATTAGCTGGTCCAGCAAACTATTACTAAGCAGAGTGTGAGGTGCTTTATGAGAATCGCATCATTTAATCTGCGTGCCACTCCCGGGAGGGAGCTAAGACGGGTGTCAGCGCCCCTGTTTTACCATTCAGGTGACTGAACAGTGTCGTTGAGGGAGGGCTTCCGTCCCCCAGGTTCTCGTCCCTATTGTGCAGAGAGGAGGCTGTGACTCAGGGAGGTGAAATGCTCGTCCTAGGTGCCCACCAGGAACTCACAGTTGCACTGAGATCTCTCTTACCCCAAAGTCTGTGGATTCTTGTTTTCATTAATAAGAGTATTTAAGGATGAAAACCTGGGAAAATATACTTTAGTTTTCTATGTATCCTTTTCTCTGATATGAAGAACTCTTTGGGCACACAAAAAAGTTAGAAAAGCATTAAATATGCTGTTGCATAGAACTTTGATTCTTGCTAGAATTGTTAATTTTATACACACATACTTTCCCAGTAGGATAACTTTTCTTTTTAATTTGTTTTTTTCTCTATTATTTTTTATTTATTTATTTTTTTGCTGGGAAAGATTCGCCCTGAGCTAACATCTGTTGCCAATCTTCCTCTCTCTCTTCCTTTTTTCTGCCCAAAGCCCCAGTACATAGTTGTATAATCTGGCTGTAGGTCCTTCTAGTTCTTCTATGTGAGCTGCTGCCACAGCATGGCTACTGACAGAGGAGTGGTGTGGTTCCACGCCCGGGAACCAAACCTGGGCCACTGAAGCAGAGCATGCCGAACTTTAACCAGTAGGCCATCAGGGCTGGCTCTCTATTCTTTTTTAAGTATATACATACTTGTGAAAATTCAGCAATTTAGATTTGTATAATAAAGAGCAATCCCCACCCTTCCACCAGTACCACTCCCCAGAGATAACCACCCTGAACCCTTTGGCCTGTATTGCCTCTCATCTTTTTTTGTGCATGTGCAAACATACGCATGATGGGTGCACTCGTGCACATGGGTTTGTGGTGTGCACAAATAGGATTGTTCACTTATTTTCTCTAACGGTAGGCCATAGACAACCTTCCACGTCAGCACGTGTTGGCCTGCTCACAAAGACAGTGCAGTTCCATCTGAACCACTGGGCATCTGACCTTTCTGCTGTTGATGAGCAGCAGCTTGATTCTGTCTTCCCACTGTTACAGAGTGTTGTGATAAACATCTCTGTGTGTTTGTGCACTTACGTGAGTATTTCAGTAGGACAGATTCCAAGAGTTGGGTTTGCCGAGTAACGAGGGTGCACATTTACAGCATCGTGGCCACCGCTCTGGCGCCCTCCAGAAGGCCGAGCCCATGCCTGTTTATGCAACAGTGGATGATGGTGCCATTTCTCCACACCCTGGCTCCAACCGATGTTCTTCTGTTTTAAATATTTGTCTTTTCTGATGGGTGAAAAATGACACCTCATTATTTTATTATGTATTTTTTTGATGATTTGTGAATTTGTGCATCTTTTCCTGTGTTTACTGGCCATTTGCATTTCTTCTAAGAATTACCTATTCATATCTTTGTTTTTTTTATTTTTTACTAATTGTAGAGGCTCTTTATATATAATTGTGGATATTAACCCTTTGCCTTATATCTGACAAGTACGTGTCTATGTGTGTATAATAATATTTCCTCCTAGTTTTGTTAGCTTTTAATTTTATTTCCAAAGAACTTTAAACATTTTTTAATGTAAGGAAATCTATCAGTATTTTGTTTTATGGCTTCTAGATTTTATCAGGATTAGTTTTTTACTCTATAAAATTTCAAGTATCTTGTGCCTTTGTCATGAAAAACCTGATCAGGCATTGGCCACTTGTGAGCGGTAAGAGCCACAGGTGACAGAAAGGCTAGTTTCCGTTGGAGGGCAGGTGGCACCCCACTGCTGATCCCCCATGGAAGGACGTGGTACGAGGTTCATGCACACACATGTATGCATATGCACACACACACAGTGGGCCCCAAGGAAAGGGCTGGAAACTTGGCACATTTCTTTTCCAACATTGCTGGCCGCGGGTAGGGGAGCTGCTCCTGGTGTCACACTCACACAGGTGACATCTTTGCAGCATCCAGTGTGACCTCACTACATAGTATATCCTCTTTCCTTCCTTCTGCCCAGACTATGCAATTTCCAAACCAGACCTCATGTCACAGATGGAACGCGGGGAGAGGCCGGCCATGCAGGAGCAGGAGGACTCTGAGGAGGGTGAGACGCCCACGGATCCTAGTGCTGGTGAGTGGCTGCCAGGCCCAGAGCTCTGCCTCCTAGATCTTGCAGCACTCAGGAGTGCCAGCATGGGGTGTTACAATCCAGAGTAGACCCTGGGGGGATCTGTTGGCAAGCTGTGTGCAGGAAGGAGGCCTGCAGGTGCTGGGACCTGCTTGGGGCCTCTGTGAGGGCCAGTGGCCCAACAGGCTGATAAATAGGAATGCCATTGGGTTCATTGTCTCGGGGTTTTTGACATGACAGCGTGTCGCCTCGCTCTTTGCAGGAAACAAAACGAGCTGAAAGGAAGGCAGTCACTTGTCAGGGCGCTAGTGCCTGTGCATCCTGGAGCTCCCAGAGAAGGGCCACATCCCTGGTCCTGCAGCCGGTCAGTGGAAGGATAGGGACAGATGGACTTTACCCGAAATGTCCTACAATATGCAGGAGAGTGTCTAGATGAGGTGGTTAGATGGAGGCAGCAGAGAGGTCCAGTGGGACTGCCATGTGGCTCAAGTGCAGACTCTAGCGTCAGGCCACCTGCATTTGAATCCTGGCCTCTCTCCTTACTAGCGGTGTGATTTTAGTTACTTAGCCTTTTTGGAGGCCTAGTTTTCTTATCTATAAAATGGGACTGGCACTAACATCTAGGGCCTGGCGTGGTGACTGGCCTGTAGCAGTGGCCCAGTAAATACCAGCTGTTGTCATTCTGCGTAGAGTGTTGTCCCTTCTAGTGGCCGTATTGGTAGCCTGCGCACTTGCACTGCAGGTGCTCTCGTATGTAGCTTGTTTTCGGAGCCCCTGCTTTGGAATCGCCTTTGGACTTGCATCACGTACCTTGAAGGTCTTCAGTGGAGGCAAATCCTTGTCCTGTGTAGCCAGACATCATTGATGACCATGTCTTTTGAAAAAGGAGGATAATCTAGCAGGAGAACTCATTGGGGCCAACAGCCAGGTCTTGTTATGAAGTAATGTCACCGATTCTGGGACCTATAAACCTCTCCAAGGAGGAGGTCCAGAAGCATATTGAGTAGTGTCAGCCCCGGACTAAGAGTGAAGGTAACTTACGGAAGAGACAGAACCTTGTGGAAAAATAAGTGCTGGCTTGTTTCAGAGAAATCCAGTATCATTAATTTGTAGAGATTTGCCTAGAGATTTAAATCAAGGGGAGAAGTTGATCCTGAATTCGTTATGGCAGACAAAAAAGATGGACTTAAAAGTAGATGAGAGTGGCGGCTTGGGGACAAAGTATGGCATGTGGCTCAGTCATCTTTTGTTTGGAGGAAAATAAGTCTGTATCTGAAAGGTTTGAGTGGCCACATCCAAAAACAAGGGTCAAGTGGGAATAGAGAGATTTGGAGTAGAAGGAATAAGAAAGAAGGCTTGGGAGGCAAAGAATGAGAAGATGAGCGAGGCGATTTGTGGTAAAAATCCTGAAATCCAGTGTGATGGCCCCGTGGAGTCTTGTGGTCCAGGGGCTGCTCTTTTAGCATCTTCTTAGAAGGGCTGGGATGAGAGCAGTGGTCCCCTTTGTCTGTCGACTTTTTCACACCCTCATCACAGATGGGCCTCCCAGAGTGGGGCCAGAATCGAAAGCAAAAAACCCCAACCCACTCTGCCCGGGGCTGGGTTTGTTCTGGCAAACGCATTCCGTGGCCTGAGCTTCTATGGGAAGTGACAGCTTCACAGAGGCTGCCTTGTATGGCTGGAATGTGCCATTTGTTCCACTAACCATCTCCAGCCACTTGGAGCCTGGACTGGAGGGAGGACAGGAGAGGACATGGGAACCACTGTGCCACGGAGCTGGCCTTCAACCCGCACCTCTGCAGGAGACCAAAGGCCCTGGCCTCTGGATAGCAGGGTTGTCCTGTGAAGCTGCAGTTATTAGAGCCCCAAACACACCAGTGGTAACCTGTTTGTTCATGTGTCTTCTTCCTTAGAAGGGCGACCACAAAACCAGCTGTAGGCCAGACCCAGTGATGTGATACCAAGGGGGAAAAGTCTACAAAATTGAGAATGTTCATAGTTCCAGATACACCAAACATGACAGTTTTATGAACTGGCTAAGTAAACTCATTCAATAAACTATTATTTATGGTTTGGATCCCTAAGAGCAAGGAGATTCAAAGATGACTCACATATTGACCCTGCTTTCAAAATACTCAGAGCAGGGGCTCCCATTCGTGGCCCTGTGAGGGTGATAGGAGGCCTGGAGAAGCCAGGTACCATTTTCACCGAACTGATTAGCAGAGAGTAAAACAAACAAACCAGAAGGCATGGCTGAAATCCAAGTTCTTATACATTGTACGTAGTTTCAGTCTTTTTGTAAAGCCATTTGATATTTTCTAGTCTTAAAATATGTTTTAAATATTTAAAATGTTCATATACTTAATAATTTCCTGAGAGTCTCTAACATGGAAAAGAATCCAAAATATGTATTAAGACGTACAGATATTACATTCCATTATGATAGATTGTTATACAGCCACTAAAATCATATTTATGAAGAGTTTTTATAGCATAAGTTTCATTCGTATGTTTATTATTTAGTTCATCAAGTATTTTTTGTACCAGGTACTGTGTGAAGAGACTGATGTTAACAACCACAACCCCACATGTATAAAATAGAGTCACTGACTGTGATATAGCACTGTGAGGACAAGCGTCGAGGGGTACAAGCCAGACAGCTGTTGAGATCAGGAGGTCAGAAAAGTCTTCTCTGAGCAAGTGGGATTTTAGTGGAAACCTAAAGAATAAGTAGGAGTTCTATTTGCTCCAAGGAGAACTCGCTGTGGGGAGGAAAGACTGGAAGCAAGGAGACGCTGGGGGCTCTTTTTGTAGTCTGGGTAGGAGACCTTGGCATAGCCCAGGGAGAGAAGTGGATGTTTGTAAGACATTTTTTGTCAGTAGACTAGAAAGGACTTCGTGATTGGTGGATGCTGAATTTGAGGGAGAGGGAGGTGCCAAGGATGACTCCCTGATCTGCTACTTGAATAAGAGGGTAGATGGGGGACAGCAGGAGGTTCAGATCTGGAGAAATGACAAGAACACATTAGGTTTGAGATCCCGTGAGACATAAAGGAGAAAGTGTTAAGAAAGCAGCAGAATGAAGGAGTCTGGAGTTCGAAAAAGAGGTCTGAGCCACAGACAGACATGTGGGCATTGGTAGCGTAGACTGGATTAGCTTCCCAGTCTGTGGAAGGAGAGGCGGAGAGAGGACGGGCCGTGCCCTTGGGAGCCCTGACTTTTAGAGCAGATTTGGAGATCTGGAATATATTGGTCTGGGTGGGGCCCAGGCATTAGTATTTTTTAAATACCTTCCAAGGTGATTCTCATGTGCAACCAGGGTTGAAAACCACTGTTGTAGGGATTTGGAAAAAGAAGGAGGAACCAGAGGAATCAAAGGAAACAGGAGTGGCCAGAAAGGTAGCAAGAAATTAGGATAGCACATTGTTGGGTATTTCAAGAGAAGAGTGTTTCCAGAAGGAGGGAGTGTGGTCAGCAGTGTTGAATTCTGCAGTGTGGTTTAGTAAGACGGAGACTGACAAGTGTCCATTGGCTTTGCAAATTGGCAACATCAGTGACCTTAGCAAGAGACATGTTGGTGGCGTGGTGGGAGCGGAAGCCAAGTAGAGTGGGTTGAGGAGTGAAGGGAGGTGAGGAAGGGGAGACGGCACCTCTCATCAGTTGTTTGACGTTAGCTGTGAGTGGGGAGTGGAAAGAGGGGGCAGGAACTTGGGGGGGCAGATCTTGTTTGCTTAAGATGGGGAGTGCTAAAGCCTATTTGAAATGTTGATGGGAATGATCCAGTTGATAGGGGAAGTTAACGATGTAGAAGTGGAAAATGCAAATACAATATGAAGTCAATGATGTAAACAAAAGACAGAAAAAAATGGATGGAAACATACCAAAATCATATTTGTCTATGCTTTGTAGAATTTTCTGAAGTAAGCCTATATTATTTCTTATTCAGTAAAAATAATTTTTTTAAGAAAACAATGCATGAGGAAAGACTTCGAGTTAAAGTCGGCAGATTGAACATGTGTTTACTGCTACCTCCCAAAATCCTTCTAAAACAAGAGTGAAGGGACTTTTAAAGAGAATGGACAAGGAGACAACAGCAACAAAATTTTGGAAGCCTGAAAGCAAATGGCTAGGTGATTACTGATTTAGAAAGCTGAATCCAGAATTGGTATTGGGGGAAGCTGAGAAGAAACCCAGTTTGCACTCCATCCCCAGCCCTGCTCGAGAGACTCGAGTTAGCAGCACCAGGGCCTCCAGGCATCTTTGGAAATGGGGTAGAGGTGAGGCTGAACTGAGGACTGGTGAAACATCGTTTAAAGAGGCATTTAAACACTCCCACTTTCCCCCATCCCTACAGCTGCCATCTGCCTCTCCCAACCCCGGTAGACGACCAAGACTTATTCTCCGGAGAGGGTGAACAAGAAGATCTCTGGACGTGGGCTCCAGGCACAATTGAGGGTGGGGTACCATGTTGAAAACAAGGGAATATGGAAGCTTAACATACAAATGTTGAGATTTCTAGCCTTCTTCCCTAGCCTGGCTCCCAAAATGATGCTGACATCCAGGATAAACCCTCAGGCAGGATATTGGAAGAGTTTAACTGGACACTTTTGGGACTAGCCCAAGAGATTTCTCAGTGAAATGACCTAGCCAAATCATCCTACTGGGAAACCCATTGTTAGCAAGTACTACCTGAATGCACTGAACTTTCAATTCTCTTTTGAGTGTTCCACTTTTAAATATAAATGGACAACCCAGAACCAAGACATTTAGGAAAAACCTCTAATATACAGAGACCAAAGGAAAAAACAGAAAAAATAAATTTCAGGGAAACAGAGACCATCCATGCAGAGAGGAAAAAAAGTATGTTTAAGTGTATATGTATGTATGTATGTGGGTATATATATATCTAAGGATTAGATAAAAGAAGTGAATGCATCCATGACACAAAAGTATAATGCTTATTAAAAAAAAAGAAAGAATAGAATGGAACTCTTGAAAACTAA